ATATATATATATATATATATATGTGCATATATATTGCATATGCATATGCATATGTATATGTATATGTACACGTACTTGTATTTGTATTCATACATGAACACACACACACACAATACATGAATACACACACACACACAAATATACATATATATATATATATATATACCCCTGACTCATACATACACCACTTATCCGCAGGCGTCTGCTGGACAAGCCTACGGCAATGCTTCGCAAGTGAGTATTGTGCGTAATGCACAGGAGGCTGCTTGTGATGTGGACGCTGTAGCGTACATTGTTGAAATGGTCATCAATCTGCGCGGTGAGCTCTTCCGACCGCTACCAGGTAGGTGTAACATGTGTGGAACGGCATGTATACATCTAATGCCTGGGTATTTAGGTACTTGAATGGTAGGTGTATATCTCTGCATATGTATGTCTAACTTTGCATGTGTATGTTTACACTTGCCTAGATATGTTTGTACATACATCTATACGTATATTTTGTCATGTGCATAGAATGCATGTATGAATGTGTGTAATTATGGTAGGCTTGGTAAATACACGCGGAGTAGAGAACCATGCACTCCCACTATCGCCTGGATCGGATGTCTTTCTCATAAATCAGGTGGGTAATCTACATTCAGCGAAGCATTCAAGTACAAAAACTATATATAGAATCTTAACAATCTATAAGTAGAATCTCAACAATCCATAAATCGAATCTAGACAATCTATATATATAATCTTGAAAATCTATGAATAGTATCACAATATGGTCCATTTTGAATTATTGTATCTCTCTTTGGCATCAGGCGTACAATCGCTTATCTATAAAATAGGATATATGTCAAGGCAGTTTATGCTTTTGTATTGTTTTGCCACGGATCCGTATTCTTCTCCTTGTTTCTGGCATAGAAGTCTTAGCCCCAAAAGCAGATGTATTCTGTATCCATTTTCTTGATGTAGTTGCATTGTACTAATAGACGGTACACTCGTTTCATATATACAACTACACATATGCTAATTCCCTACGCAACAGGTTTATACTTTGCTATCGATGTATTTCCTAGTTGAGTAGCATCGTACTACTACATATTGTATTAAATGGCGTACTCCCATTCCATACCCAACAGATGTGTACTTTGCCATGCAAGAGATGGACTCACATACAAACGCGCTAAAGCTAAGCTATGCAACCGCCGGGTCTAAGAGCGAGAAGACACTCGCAGCGTACAAGAATGCGACATGTGGTATGTACATACATGTTACGAACGATATATTGTCGTAGACTATATTGGTGCGTCATGACTAGCCCGTTGGATAGCCGCAAGTGTATGTCCATATA